GTCGGGTACCATTTGTAATTGTGCGTCTGGAAGCCAGACTGACGGAGCGATGGTCGTGTATCTGGAACCTGTAAACGCTTTTTAATTAGCTCAATATACTTCTCAAGCCTTATGGCCTAACTGAGGTCACCTCAAGCTGCACTCTGAAGGATATTTGGAGAGTTTTAAGGGGATCGAAGCGTCATCTGCAACATCAGCCGACATTTGAAGAGAAAAAAAGTTGGGTTAAAAACAATAAATAAAACGCGTCGCCGCACCACTTTTGGGGCAAGCTCAATACCAGAAACCGGAAACTTTTTGGGGGGCCTTAGGTCACTTTCTTTTGGACTCGCCCTGTATGACGTGCTGTAGAATGCATTATGTGTCTTTTAAAATGAATGGGTCACGATTAACTGTTTCAATGTTGTAGTTCAGCCATCAAGAGACCATTACAAGTCCTTTCATTAGTAAATCACAAGTCCATTCACAATCACAAGTCCAGTCACAAGTAACAGGGGATGAACAATGACAAAGGAATGCCTTTGTTCCGATTTATTTGAATAGCATGTGACTCGAATTGGAACTGGATGACTTGTGATGGAATTGTAATGAACTCGACTAGTGCAGTGCGGCTAACCATGTGATATAAAGTATCCAACATGCAGCGAATTTCATGCGATTATTATGAACTTTATTACACAGACCTCGTATTATTACATAAATTAATCGCAATAAGTTGATTTATAATTTTGAAAAAAGGTGCCAAAAATGGTTCGATAAAACTAAATGATTTAGGAGTGCAATTTTCGAAATGTATGAAACAAATTATTATTGCTTCAGTGATGGTAATTACGACAACTTAGTACACCCGTCCGTTAAAATTAAAAACTGGGTCACAACTCTATAGCTGCTTCACATGTTTTAAAATTGCGAATTTTTTTCTTTTCATTTTGTTAATAAAATGTCATTACCTGTTAAATTGTAAATTTGACCGCGACAATTTTTTAGCATTCTGCATCTTCAAAAAAGGGGAGTCAGATTGGTGCAGTGGTTACTTTCCTTGCCTTCGACTGCTAAGCCCAGATTCAATTCCGGGTTCAACTTCAATTCCTGATTTTCAGTCCCTAGCTGATCCCGTGGGTCTTCCCCAGGATATGCTTCTGGGGTTTCCTCCCACCTAAAAAAAACCTGTTATTTTCTTCTCGTTGTCTTCTCTCTATATGTTTCTTCAGGATTGCAAGCTACAGTGCCTAGGGCACTTTTGAGTAATCCTTATGTTTCATTACCAGAAAGAAAAATTCAACCAATGGTGCATTCTTATAGAGACTTTTACGACTTTTACGAACATGCATATACAGTTTTCGTCAATCAATGATCGAAACACTTAATTAAGGCAACCAAAACGTTTATAGTTTTAGGACATTTCTTTCTTTCTTTCATTTCTGTTCTTTTTTGTGCATACAATATATCAAATATCAGTGCCGACAAATAATATTATTACTTGATATTTTTCGTTCACTTTTTACACTACTTTTTTACATGAGACTATTAATGGTAACTGCGGTACTCACAATTTATTATACAATTTACAACCAGACATTCAGTTTTAAACATGCATTTTAAAGGGAAACTTTGCCTTCTCTCACTAATATTAAATGACTCTTCATCGTTGGAAATGACTCCTGACCATTGTCATCTTGGTTGCGCGTCATGTTCATTATTGGTACTTTTTAGCAACTTCTGTTTATTATTTAGTCGATTTCTGGTCAAGATTGCTATCCCCGTCCATAGGCTTAATGCTTCGATGGGCAGAAAGAAGCAAGTAATTTTTGTAAGAAATTACAAAATTGTCAAATTGAGTTCACCTGTTCAGTAGTTTCAGATAGCGTAGTTTGTGATTTCCATCGTATTTAAGTTACGAAAGCTCTGCGACCCATCAGGCAGAAAAGGGGTATACATGTTCCAAATGAAATTTGTCGATCAAAATGTTCGTTGGGCAGATTGGCCTTCTAGAGCTGACATGGTTTTCATCAGCGATCATTCCAATAAGACGACAATGAACAGTCTCGAAAAGTCACGACTTCAGTTCGTGAATTTGTCAAGTTATTTGAGTGTGAAGCGGCCGTTTGTGTCTGCTTGACGGCAGAACATCTCTGGGGCGGTGGATTGACCGGCTGAGTACTCACAGATTACGAAGTTATCGTCATGACAATTGATGTCATTCATGAGACCATCAGATGGTGTTATCTCAAGACAATCTTCTGTTTGTGTGTCATGCACCCCAGTTGGTTGCCCATCTACCCAGTTGAAGTAGGTACAATTCTGACCGTCCTCATTAGCTCATTTTCTGAGGCAGCAGTTGATAACAGGAGCCGGCAAATCTCTCTTGGCCAGGCTTGCAAATGTTTGCTTGAGCACAGGCTACAAAGATGGTCATGAGCCAAACCACCTTCATTTTGGTAATTTGATATACCCGATGTCGTATTCTGCTAAAAGTTGAACATTATCATTTTGTCTCTTGATCCTCTGTGATTGGCGAAATCGACACAATGCTCAACTGACTCGAGCCATCGAGATTGTGTCCATCTGTAACCACAACATATAACACAGTTTGGGGTAAGCAAATGCTTTTTGCGCAAATAGGTGTGAATAAAACACCGTGGAGGACACAGCTTCAACTCTTAGCTATACGCAAAAAAATACAGCTAGACCGAGTCTTAATTTCTTGGCGGCAACGGTCTGTCCCAGTTTCTATGCCAACTGCCAATTGGTCTCTCAGTCTTCATGCATGAGAACCAAGTTATCAATGCGGGTAAATTAACCGTCGTCGAATTGTGAAACGGGCTGGAACATAGTGTTTGGATACACGGCAATGGTTATTAATGAACGTTATTCTTTCTCTCTAGTAATATATGCCTATTGTTGATGTTCTTTTCTTGGTTCTTTTGCCATAGCAACCTGCATCAATAAAGTGTTTACTGCTTCCAGAAATATATTCAATATTGAATTGTAATGGAATCTGTGCATCGTGGAAAATCCTATGGGAAAAGTAACTGCTTGCACACTTGTGCCTCCCTTGCCCCCAAAATAAGCCTTTTCGTTCGAATTTGGCTGAGAGTGACCTGGCAATTATTGTTCCTTTGTTTATATCTGCTGGCTTCTTTCTTCGACTGTTGCTTTCAACAACATTCGGTTTGAATCATAATAAGGCCTGCTTCAGTTAACAAAAGTGGTCTTCGCTTTGTTGTAATTGTCGGGGGAAAAAACTACCAGTATTTAATAAAAACACGCTTGTTTCTGGCGCAAAGATTGTTTGTTAAATATATTATTGAGAACAACCAAGACTTTTGTTCGTGTTCGTACGTTGATATCGGTAGGCTTTTGACTGAGACTGTTGTCTTTGTCAACAGGCAATTTGCAATCAAAAGCTTGCATCTGTGAACCAATTAAAATGGGTATTTTTTCTAATTTTTGGGAAAAAAAATTTGACTTTCTTTTTTTTTCAGCCTCACTCCCAATATTATATTGTGGCACCGGTCGATGTACGGTGTAATTGCTCTGACAGCTACAAGCTTGCATCAGCAATTCAATACCAAGCAGTCTTCATTCAACTGTTATATACGGCAATTTTCAGATGTCCTCGACATCAACTTCGCAAATAATTATTCAGATTTTACTGCTGGATCCGAAGGGCAATTTGGTCATTGACTGACTGAGTCACTGACTGACAGACTCACTGACTCCCTGAGTCACTGACTCCCCGACTCCCCGAGTCACTCCCCGACTCCCCGAGTCACTCCCCGACTCCCCGAGTCACTCCCCGACTCCCCGAGTCACTCCCCGACTCCCCGAGTCACTCCCCGACTCCCCGAGTCACTCCCCGACTCCCCGAGTCACTCCCCGACTCCCCGAGTCACTCCCCGACTCCCCGAGTCACTCCCCGACTCCCCGAGTCACTCCCCGACTCCCCGAGTCACTCCCCGACTCCCCGAGTCACTCCCCGACTCCCCGAGTCACTCCCCGACTCCCCGAGTCACTCCCCGACTCCCCGAGTCACTCCCCGACTCCCCGAGTCACTCCCCGACTCCCCGAGTCACTCCCCGACTCCCCGAGTCACTCCCCGACTCCCCGAGTCACTCCCCGACTCCCCGAGTCACTCCCCGACTCCCCGAGTCACTCCCCGACTCCCCGAGTCACTCCCCGACTCCCCGAGTCACTCCCCGACTCCCCGAGTCACTCCCCGACTCCCCGAGTCACTCCCCGACTCCCCGAGTCACTCCCCGACTCCCCGAGTCACTCCCCGACTCCCCGAGTCACTCCCCGACTCCCCGAGTCACTCCCCGACTCCCCGAGTCACTCCCCGACTCCCCGAGTCACTCCCCGACTCCCCGAGTCACTCCCCGACTCCCCGAGTCACTCCCCGACTCCCCGAGTCACTCCCCGACTCCCCGAGTCACTCCCCGACTCCCCGAGTCACTCCCCGACAGAGTCACTGATTGACCCATTCATTATAAATAATGTATAAATAATGTCCTAAGCTGCAGGCTTTCGAGTCAAGCTCGAGTATAGGCAAGCTTTGCCTTATTAGCTGAAACAAACATGCTTGAGCTGAAAGAAGGAAGAAACGGAAAATAAGATCCCACACATTACATTTTTAGTATGATTAACACACATCGACTCAAATATCCGTTGAGGTTAAAATTGGAAATAACAATAATCATAATGAGATTCCCTTTTCAAGTAATATTCTTAGTATATAAAAATATTAAAATCCCTCCAACACAAATTCCAACAAAACTCATTGATTTTCTTCTGAATAATACTGTTAATAATATATATTTATGTATTTCATGTTGAATTCATTATTCAAAAGTGCGGATGTGAATCAGGTCTAGCGACTAGATTCTCAGTTTAGTTCGCAAAATATTTGTTGTAAGTCTGAAGAGGTCTAACAATGAACTCGAGCCCCTTTGCATTTTGGGAGTAATAATACATTATCGTCTTTTTTTCTCATCTCTACAGTATACAAAGGGTCACAACGGTATGGGGCGTGAATTCCATTTCAATTACGAGGAGGTGACAGACGCCATGCAGTTCTGGCTGGGACCGTTCATGCCTGGCGTGGTGGTCTTCAGCCCAGATACAGTCAAAGCAGTCGCCAATAAAAATGGTAAGCGCTCTAGATCCTACTCCACCCCGATCCAGCTATGGACTCCGTGATCAAGTACCCCTCAACGGTTACAAACAGACAGTTTGGTTGAACCACTGGAACGAATAGTCCATGGTTGCAGACCAGTAAATAAACTTACATAGACCCCAATGGTAAATGTTCTCATTTAAGAAATTCGGGAAAAATACTCACAACTCTCCAAGGTAGTCGAGATACACATCAAAATAATTAAAGCTTATTTCATCATCTTTCATTTTCTTTTCAAGTTTTGGGGGGTCAACTGATTACTTTTAGGAGAAATTTCCATCCGAAGATGATCACCCCTGAAAATAGTCCTGAAGCCCATCGCCATTTTGAAAAACGATGCCTACACTCTACACTTCATCCAAATTGAACGGAACTACAAGCTCACAGTCCTGTGCACCGCTTCCACCCATATTTTTTTCCCTCAAGTTCATGGCCCACGGCATGCTCAAATACTGAAGATTTTTGAGGGCATGCAAATCGTGATTTGGCCGGCGTAGGCAATTTCGGACCGATTTACTGGTCTGCAACCCTATGGGATATCCACTTGTCTTGCACAGCAATCGTCTATGCGATTATTATGTAAGCAGGACTGCGTCTGGACCTCCAGATTCTCACCATTCAGGGGGCGCCTTCTATGGGGTTTTCGGTAACCTGTTGTGTTAGTACGAAAAATAGCAGCCAAATTGACCAATCAACAGCTTAGTCCACATTTCTGCTCGAAATTATGTCACAATTGGCTGGTGAGTGGGGTCGCATAAAATGTACATGTCGCATATCAGAAATTACGGAGCGGGCTCCGTTGAACAACGGATGATGCTCAGACTATGGAACGAACGGAGGTTCAGATACATTACCAACAGCACCGTGGCCAGCTCTGGGTATTAGGGGTCACAGTGCCAGCAGCTAAGGGGTCACCCGCAAGTTTTACGCGTATAGTTTTGCCGATGGGGAGGGGCAGTTGCTCGCCATGACGGGCCTGATTACCGACGGCGTTTGGCGGTTACGCGAAGACTCAACGGGTTTGTGCACACTCGGAATAAAGTAGTCGTGCACAGAGTCCGTAGACTTATCCGACCACACTTCAGGATATATTAACTAATATCAGTGCTATAGGATTACCTCTTTAACGCCAATAAATGGGCTAAAACCCGGCCCATTGTGTGAGACTGCAGATTTATGGGGAAAATCCAGTAAATCATCAGAATAGAATGTTGAACTCTCTGGGACCAGCCATACTAGACTAGCCTTGTCTTGAAAGAGTTTATCTGAATCCAAGTGCCGACCCATGTTCCAACTAAGCGCTGTTATCTTGTACCCATCGTATATACATCAGAACACAACATCACATTGTTTTCAGAGTGTTTATATTTTTTCTCCCCCGTGTAGCTTCGGGTATAATTCTTTATATTATTTTAATTCTGTAAATTGTTCTTTAAAACCGAGCTCCTTTCCCATTTTGGCAGAACCGAAGCAGGAGTCGGTGATGAGGTTTCTCCAGGAGTGGATTGGCGATGGCCTGGTGGCCAGCCAGGGGGAGAAATGGGCCCGTAACCGACGGCTGGTGTCGCCGGCCTTCCACTACTCCGGACTGCGACCCCATGTCAATATCTTCAGCGAGTGCGCACACAGGCTGGTGGTAGGTTCCCTCTGAAGATCCAATTTAATTATATTTTTTTATGGAAAGTATGATCTGTTTGCCGACAATACTGGCGTTATACGATCAACAAACGACAGTGTTGTAATTCTCGTACTCGTACGCGTACTCGAGTACACTTTTTGTACTCATACTTGTACTCTCAATAAAAAAGTACCTGTACTCGCACGCGTACTCTAAAGTACGATTTACTCTTATACTCGTACTCATTGAAATGTAATCGACAACAATACTGCTGAACTAAGAAAGCTAGTTAAACTAAGACGTAATACAAAACATATTTCGTTTCAGTGGACCTTCATTTATCTTTGTGTTATCATGACTTCATTATACAGAAATCGTGTTCATATGACCAGGCAATCCCGTATGGTCTGGTGGTGGTTGGAATCCGGTGCACTCACCGCCGTGAGCCGGGTTCGATTCCCGGTGTGGGGATTATTATTAAGGGAATGACTGTGTGTTCGGGAGGTATTATAACACTCTGTTTAAGACAGGTGAGAGTCTGGACGGCCGATAATTACCCGAGGCGAAGCCCGAGGGTAATTATCACCCATTCAGACTCCCACCGGTCTTAAACAGAGTGTTTAATACCGACCGAACACATATTTATTCCCATTCATAAATACCTTGTCGGTCGCGCAAAACGCAGCTGGGCTGGTGTTGTGTGAATTTCGGACCATGAAATACTGATTCACTGGTAGCATTGCGCATACATACGTGAGGAATGTGATCGTTCAACCAATGAAACGTTAAAAGGCACGCGGATTTCAAGGGAGTCCAAATTTCTTGTGACACTGGAAAAGTGTTTAAGACCAGCTAGCCATGTCTTTATCATCTGTTTAAGACCGGCCACGTGACGGGCTCTCGACCAATAGGAATGCTTAAACTGTCTTAGGTATTTATGAATGTCGCTTTGTTGCATGGACCATATAAAAAATGGTTCGCTTTAATTTGACTGCAATTTTTTTCAATAGGCCTAAAATGTGTCCAAAAAAAGTCATGTTCAGTCCAACGTTATTAAAATTTTAAAATATTGGTCAGTGTGGGGCTCGAACCCACGACCTTCGCGTTATCAGCACGACGCTCTACCGACTGAGCTAACCGACCGCTGTGTTTTTAACAGACGAACATTCTATAGTAGTGCACTAAATAAGTTTTGAAAAATTGTTCTACTGTAGAATTTCTTGAACACGCATTCACAACTACTATTAGTATTCAATACCCGTACCAACCTATCTTATATAAACAATCTCGACGGCAATACTAGATAAGTATTTAAAATTTGTAAATTCTCCATGAGAATTCTTGAACACTTATTCATAATTTTAATATGACTATTCAATACCCTATAGCAAATCATTTGGGCAAATTAATCTAATATGAGGGAACACTATTTATCATTGTGTTATCATGAATTAATTTTATACCGAAAATTGCTTCATATGACCAGGCAATCCCATATGGTCTAATGGTTGGGATCCGGCGCTCTCACCGCCGTGGCCCGGGTTCGATTTCCGGTGTGGGAATAATATTTTCTTTCTTTTTTTCAATGTATCATAGCAAAACAGTTTCGTTTGATTTGATTTCAAAATATAAATGTTATAACACAAACATTGGAAAAAAAGTCTTGTTTGGTCTAAAACAATCGAAATTTTAAAATGGTGTTCAGTGTGGGGCTCGAACCCACGACCTTCGCCTTCGCGTTATTAGCACGACGTTCTACCGACTGAGCTCACCGACCCCTGTGTTTATGACGTAAGAACATTCTATAGTAGTACACAAAATACATTTTTGAAAAATTTTTGTATTTCTAATTTGTTTCAGCAATTATTTCAATTAACAGTTAGAGAGTTCTGACATCAATTCCAAAAAAGAAAACCCGCTCAAAAACCATTACAAAAAAAACCTTTTTAATTTTGTGGAGGCCAAGTGTCCTGAGATTAAAAAAGATGTCTACATTTCGGCACAGACGTGCGGTTGCCCCCCCCCCCCCGACATCCAATGCTAGATACGCTATTGTTCAATACCCAATACCAACCGAACTGAGCAAGGCAATCCCATATGGTCTAGTGGTTAGGATCCGGCGCTCTCACCGCCGTGGCCTGGGTTCGATTCCCGGTGTGGGAAATTTTTGTGTGTGAATCTTCAAAATGTCTTGCATAGTGACACTAAATAGTCGCATTTTAGACTATACCCTTGGTGATCTTTTACAACCAAAGATTTGGTATTTTTTTAATGTTTGAAGATGACTATTTTGATTTTTTCTTATCACGTAGGACAAATGGAAGAAGCTCTGTGGTAAGGGACAGACAACAGTCAACGTGTACGACCACATGGGACTGCTGACGCTGGATAACTTGCTCAAGTCTATCTACAGCCACGACAGTCACTGTCAGACCGAGGGGTAAGAACAGCGCCCTCTACCGCCTCACTCAAAATGTATGTCTTATAACCCTTCCCGCGCTCGCCCCCCCCCCCCCCCCCCCCCCCCGATACCATGTCAAAGGGTCATGTAGATGACCTCTATTTTCTTTGAGCTTTCATTGGATACTTTTTTTGCGTTGTGAATGACCCGGGTTACCACTTCCGTGTGTGCATGAGTTGTGCGCACGGAATGTAGCGTACGAGCGTTTATTTTTTTTAATCGCGTACCGGGACCTGTACTGCTTGGTGTGATTCCTTGGTTTTCCTCACAAGATTTTGTGAAGATCGAGGATTAGCGGTAATCAGCGCCATGGCTCGGGTAGGGACAAGCGAAAAATATGGCTACATAATCATGTTTGCATTAAGGCACATCAGCTAAAAATGGGCTTCAACTGTCAAATTGAGCACAAGCCGTCTTTTCACTGTACTTTTATGAACAAGCTTATACCATGGTGGAATAAAATCACAGGCCTATATAGTCCAGTCATCAGCATATATCTTGTCCCATCTCCCCCAGGTGCACCTACGTCCACGCCGTCCGGAAACTGGCCGACATCTTCTTCAAACGCTTCGTCACCATGTGGCAGTACTTCGACTTCCTGTTCTACAGCTGCAAGGACGGCCGAGACTTTCGCAGAATCCTCAAGGTGGCGCTAGACTTCTCTCGAGGGGTCATCGTCAACCGCAAGACTTCGGCCAAGAACGGTCAAGCGAGGGCGTTTCGCGACCTGCTGGACATATTGATAGACGCGCGGGTGAGTATTTAAAAAAAAAGGAAGGGTGGACAAAATAATACGCACCGTGCCGACAGTTTTGATGGGCGGGAGTATTTTAATTTGCAGTTGGATTTGACGACAGGAAAAGGGAATTCACGATTATATTTCATCTAGCTTGCGATTGCACTTTTTTTCCATCTGTTGAGTTGAGCGGCACATCGGCTGGCACGTCAAGTTTTGGTCTAATTGAAAACAGGTAATAATCTTGTACAAATGTCACCGGATCATCCCAGTGCGTATGCTGTCGTTACCGATACTATAGAAGGAGGTACAAGGAGCACAGGGCGAAAAATGATGGACAGGAATTTTGTCGACGAGAGGATTATTGCTTTTAAAGGAGAGCCACTTTGAATGAAACCTTCAAAGCATCTTTAAACTTACAGGCCCTGACGTTTATGCCCTAACAGAGCTTTTCTTGAAGGACAAAAGACCGCGAATTTTACAACTTGTGTATTTTAGGTCATTTCAGTCGGTAGCAGTTTGCAACACAACAAGTTTTTTGTAAGCTTGTTAGAATCTTAAAAGGCCCATGTAGGCCTAATATAATTTGTTTAATGCGATCCTTTAAAATACACCCTTCGTTTTGCCATTTGGAAGGGCATTAAGGTGCCTTTTGGGTTGTTATGCTAATGCCAATTTCTGAATTTATGAGCAAAACTATGATGTCATTCGGGGCAAAACCTCAATGTTACAGCTATTTCAGCACAAAAAGTTGCTAGAATTTTGGAAATTTTGCTATCCTGGATTTTCTTTTCTTTGGCGATTCGTCGTTGCGTATGAACATGGTGACAGTAAGCCAATGAGCAATCCTAGCTCAAAAAGCTGCAAGCAAATGTTTTCAATGACAATTTTGGTTCACAATTTGAACAGAAACACCCTTAACCTGAAGAGTGTCTCCCTGAAATTGCATCACAGCATTGCCATTTTTTAATGTCCATGCACTTTTCAATAAAATGAACCAAACAGGATGTCAAAACTTTTGCATACCTTTAAGAGGAGTGGAAAGTTGCACAAAATGTGTTCCTAAGAAAACCTTAAACACTTTAAAATTTCAAAACACGGATTGTAATTTTTTTTCTCTTCGCCATTGACCTATGTCCAGTCCATCACAAGCCCATCCCAATTCTGGTCAAAACTAGGCTAAATCATGAGTCAATTTACAATTCCAGTCACGGTAACAGGAATAAACAAAGGAGTTTTCTCGAAAGTTCAGTTGAATAGCTTGTGAGTTGTGGCTTGTGATTTGAGACCGGTGGACTCGAGATAGACTTATGAGGATTTATGAGACCTAGACAGCAACACTGCAAGCCAGTGACCATAAGGCCGAGTTAAAAAAAATAGCTTCTCGTCCGGGCTTTTTTTGGAAAACAAGGAAGGAGGCCTTGTTTTCTTCCCCGGAGTTTCCAAGATGGCGGTTGGATTATTCTATTTTCTCGACTCTTTTGCTGAAGCCTTTGTGTCCAAAGGAGCCGTTACCCTTTCTACCAGAATTTGAACTTGCATACATAGCTACAATATTTCGCTTAATAAAAAGACTAAATATATTGCCTGTTGCAAATGTTTGATTTAAAAAAAATTAAAAAAAATAAAAAGAAGGCTGGCGGGAAAAAGGAAGCGGTTGGGGACGAAAAGGTGTTTGTAGGGTGTGTTTTTTTAAATTGGCCTAAAATTGCGAAATACCTTTTTAGGATGATGACGAGAAGGGCCTGAGTGAAGAAGAGATCCAGAACGAAGTGAACACATTCATGTTTGGCGGGTACGAAACCACTAGCACCGCCGCCACCTGGGCCCTATATTGTCTGGCCCAACATCCCGAGTACCAGGACATCTGTAGGAAAGAAGTGGACGAACTGATGGACACCAACGGCAGTGAACATCTCGAGTGGTGGGTCAAAATGCGTAAAGTAACCAGCAACATAAAACAAAATGGTTCAACTACCGGAAAAGTTCGTTTAATACCCACGAAGCCAAACTGCACACACCGCGAGGGCCAGTAGAGCAAAATAAACAGTCAAAAGTAGGCAAATGCAGCTAGCTGCGCATTAGAACTTTCAACTGTTTGAAAATAATGGATCATAAACATTTGCGGCCAACTCGCAAAAATAGCAGTATGTCCTGTCTGTTTCGAAAAACAAGAGCAGTCGGTGATAGGGCAATCGAATCACACGGATTTACAGTACCTTTTGCGCAATGTTAAAACTTAGGAAAACCATATCAACAAGTTGTCACAATTTCTACAAAAACAACGACACTGATAACAAGCTATCGTCAAGGAGCCTGTTGATAACAGAGATCCGACGAATCTCCTCGGCTCGCCAACTTTGCTTTGTTTTTCTTTTATTTTCCGCTGTACTAATTACCATGGCAACCATCTTGTTTTCACACTGTCTTCTAGGACGGACATGAACTCTCTGCCGTTCCTGACCATGTGTATCAAGGAGAGCCAACGGCTGTACCCGACTGTTCCCTTCGTCTTCCGCCGCCTGACGGAGCCGCTCGCCCTCAACGACGGAAGGGTCATACCGCCAGGTAGGCACCGCACCATGAGCGACTGTCATTGGGGGATTTGGGGGATTTTCCCTCATGTTTGCCGACGCTGAGCGCGAATGTTTGCCTCGGTCTTTCATTATATTTCAGTCACCCCGCATTTCAAGTCTCCTATATCCTGAAACCGAGGTCTTCAAACGGAAAAGGACCTTAAAACGTCAAAAATTGGCTCGGAGCCAAGTATTACACAAAAACGCACGAGCCCGAACAAACTAATACATGTACACGCATTATGCACTAGCCTACCACAACTGACTCTGTAGATGCCTCGAAGAAACGCCCGCAAACGAACGTGCAAGGTTAAAGTTAAAATATTTCCAGAAACATTATTTACATAATCAATTTCCAGAGAGTTCCGAGGTACGGTAGGTAAGACCAGACGGTTAACGGTCCCGTCCAATCATGTATTGTAATGTAAAACATACCACATAAATTGATCCCACATCGAGTACCTCTCAATATGTTCGAGTGTTACACGGAATCGAAATGATGGGTCTTATCAAAACACTGTGAAATGTCAAGCTGTTTATACAGGTATGTCGAGGGAGAGAGTACTAACTGGATTATAATACTTTACTGGTAAGACATTTTTTAAGTCTATAAAAGTAGTGGGTGAGAAACGCGTACATTTTCTTCTCGAAATCATTACGACCTTTTATTTTGTTGCTGCTGCCGAACCGACATAAAATCTTACCCACGATTCGACAGCAGTATTATAAAAACGTCCCATTTTCGCAAATGTCAAGTCTTCGAACCCAAGTGCGGCTTTTGAAGTGTTTTCATTGACCGAGCGAATGAATACATCAAACTACACGTACTTAAAAACAATAGTCAACGATGATAATTATAAACAACAGTACAGCTATAGAAACACCTGTCAGTTTGCTAATATTACTGAGGGTTCAAAATGTGTTTACGAAGGAAAAAGCTATATCCCACCAGGTCCATCATACGGACTGTTTACAGTTAGGTTCAATGGGGGGCTGTACTCAAAAACTTAATTCAGATCTTCAGAGGAAGTACGTTGGCAGCTTATACAGTGCAGTAGTGAAGCGACCTACATGTACAGGGTGAGTCAAAAAGAAGTTGACCTGGATTAATGATTTATTTTTCTTAAACAGCAATCAAGTGTAATACAGCAATGAAGTATGTCTTGAAGGAGCATGTTCTTCCACTCATCTGGAAAAAATAATTACTGACATTGATCCTTGCTATCAAATTATATATGTATTACTAAAAGAACGTGTTTTTTATAGCTGTCCCTGGAATGCTATTGAAGCCTTATTCATGAGTCGGCCATGTTGATTAAAATCTTCATTTTTGGAACTTGCGAAGAGAAATGAGACAAAGTACATTTCTAAACAATTCAAGTCTGCTTAAATAAGTAGGTTTTGAGGCCTTTGCATGGTGGAGATACTAAATAATGAAAGGTTTGCGGAAACACCATGTGCGAATGATTTCTCAACTAAGAGAATGGTTCTGAAAAGAACCAGAGGTGTAAACTCGACGTTCCGGTCAGTATGCTCTGACCGTCTTCTGCTTAAGTAAATAATTTAAAATTTGTACTTAAACAAAAATGAAAGTAAAACAAGGCTGCACGAATAGTCTGGCGCCATCCCATTCAACAGTTGAATGAAATACATTCAGGGAACACGACAAAAATGGCTACCGCGTGAATAAGGTCCATTGAGCTGAGCGAGAATTACAGAATACACACGCTTGGAAATACAAATGAAATATTAATCATTTGAGTGCAGTAACATTATTGTTACTGTCAGATTTTTGTTTTATATATATATATGAAGAACAAGTCCACACTTGCTTTCTGAAATATTGATGGCGATTTTGTCTGTTTTTCTTTGCAAGTTTTCCTTCATTCATGGAGGTGGGAAAACGTTTATGTTTCATTGTATTTAATGGGTGCAAATCAGTTCGTATAGAACGGTCAGCGGTGAACAACTGAATTTTGTGATCTTTTTACTAAAATAGTCATAACTTGGGAACAAAGTACCCACATAAAAGTAAAATGTTCACAGTCACTAATCCATAACATTTACTTTATCCCTATGTTATTTTTATAAAATAGCGCGAGCTACATATATTTCTTAAGTATTGCTTCTAATTCGGTCACTTTCTTTTTGACTCACCCTGTAGGCCCCTATAGTCTTTTCTGAACTGAGCTATCCGAAGTCCTATGTTGGTGGTTCCCCATTTTGTCAATGTCTTTGCTCAAGGGGCGCTAGCCAGAAGCCAGAAGCCCGTATATGCCATGTAGCCAGGGACCACGCTCAAAGCCACAATGCTAGCAACATTACCAATGCTGCAAATCTGGGGATATAGCAAACGGGGATCATTCAGACAGGATGGATACGGCATTGTATTACAAGTTTTCAAAGAAACTACAAACGGAAACTGAGCGTGTACATTACAAAAATTTTAAAGTTGAACAAGGAAATTGACTGAAGCGCCTTAAATGCACCTGTATAGTCAGTTTCCCGTTGTGGTTTATTTGAAAATGTATTAGATTTTTGTCATACTTTGCTGATTCGGGCTTTTTCCACCCCCACTCCCCCAAGCAAATAATCGTGAAAGCACTCAATTAGAAAATGTCTACAAAATGCAAGGCGCAGTGATATTATTTCATAGTATCCGGTGAAACGGGAGCTACTATGCAAACTCACTAATCCCAGAAGGCCGTAGCTCGCAGCGCTCTATCTGCCTCAGAGGACCCAAGCATAACATAAGGATGTGATTTCACTTGATGACTACCGTAACCCTTGACACCGAGCATATTTACCACCCCCCCCCCCCCCAACAGATAACAAAACATGTGGCGAATCAAAATGATATTTCCTTTTTGAAATCGGTATCATCGAATTTCAAGTAACGAATCCTAATTCGGTGTTTACCTTAATACATTTATACTCTCGATCACATCTTGGGAGTATGTGTTCGGCTTTAGGCCCCTGCCAAGGGTGGCTATATAACCGGCTGCCGGCATTATTAATTTCCAATCAAAACGAGTGGATCTTACGGCGAAATTGGACACGCAAAATAATTAATCGCGGCCCCACATCCGTGTGCGGAATGAGCGATGGTGTATCATCTGGTGTGCCGTGCATGCAAACAAAAAGCAAACACAGATCCCTCTTGAAATGTGCTGTTTCCAAGCATTTTCTACATCACCATGGCAATAAAAAAGGACGAAAAAAATATAGGTCTTAATATCATAGGGTTGATACTGATTCGATTATCTTGGAGGGTTGTTCCAAGTCAGATATTCGGGAGAGAGCCGTGTCCAAACTGGTCAACAAAGATTTTGTTTGTGCGCAAACTCTCAGATTACATCGAATTGATGGCCACAGATTTTCATTCGAATAACTACGATAGGTAATATGCATGTTCCCATCGTTTGTTTACGAACTATCAGATTGCATTTGATTTTAATATGGTTTGTACGTGCATTTGTTCAGGTCACATTGCGTTATTTGGGTGGGTTTTTAAACCATGCTTTTAGAAACTGTAAAAGTTGCTAAAAAAAAAAAAATCGGTCCTTTGACGAATTCGGGCGCGTGATGACTGTACACTCCCGAGGCCCCTTTAATGGAGACACCATTGTGAATGATATTGTACAAAACAACTGCCCCGTGATGAGAATTATCTGAACAATAGCTAGCTCAAGGCTTTCACCATTGAAGGGGGCCTTCGTGCTAGATTGTGTTTTAACCTACGACTTGTTGGATTATATCTTTACAACAATACAAAGCAAACCTTGTCAAGATGGTCCCAGAGTGCAGGAAAAAAATATTTAATCAAAAATTCAGTCTGAGTCCGAGTCACTTCTCCCGAGTCCGAGTCCGAGTCCCAAGTCATGTAGGACGAGTCCGAGTCCCGAGTCACACTGATTGACTCCGAGTCACACTGGTCGAGTCCGAGTCCAAGTCCGAGTCACTTCTGCCGAGTCCGAGTCCCAAGTCCCAAGTCACGAGTGTGACTCGGAGTCGATCAGTGTGACTCGGGACTCGGACTCGTCCTACATGACTTGGGACTCGGACTCGGACTCGGGAGAAGTGACTCGGACTCAGACTGAATTTTTGATTAAATATTTTGTCGAGTCCAAATCAAAGTTTATACGAACCACCTTTAAAATATATTGGAAATAAATTTTGAGGTACTGCTAAAACCTCACAGTATAAATGTTTCCATTTTTTACAGCTTTTCTCTAGTTTAATGAACCGGACATCCATGTATAGCCATAAGGCAAGGCACAGTTGTCTGGAAAAGATAATCTGGTACCGAACACTATATCAAGCTTGTATGGTGGCCCTGAAGGGACATCGCATATCGCAAACGTGTGCGCATACGTATGCGATGTCGCGAAATTTATCGCGAACGTGTGCGCATACGTATGCGATGTCGCGAAATTTATCCCGAACGTGTGCGCATACGTATGCGATGTCGCGAAATTTATCGCGAACGTGTGCGCATACGTATGCAATGTCGCGAAATTTATCGCGAATGTGTGCGCATACGTATGCAATGTCGTGAAACAATTCGCGAATATGTGCGCACACGTATGCGAATTTGTTTTGCAATGTCGTGAATTTTATTGCATACCTTGTCGCATACCTTTCAGTAAAATTCCTAATGAACTGGGGAGTTGTAGCAGCTAGTCTGGAATCTAGACGTACTGTTAGATATAAATAGGGTCTGACTAATAAACCTTCGCGCGCACGCTGTTCCTCGTGCAATCGTTACTACGAGTACTGTCGAGCGCGAACTTGCTACTTACGCAACTTTCAAATTTGCGCGCGCAAGTTTCAAACTTGCGCAAGTACCAAGTTTGCGCTCGACAGTACTAGTAGTAACGATTGCGCGAGGAACAGCGTGCGTGCGAAGGTTTATTAGTCAGACCCTATTTATATCTAATAGTACGTCTAGATTCCAGACTAGCTGCTACAACTCCCCAGTTCATTAGGAATTTTACTGAAAGGTATGCGACAAGGTATGCAATAAAATTCACGACATTGCAAAACAAATTCGCATACGTGTGCGCACATATTCGCGAATTGTTTCACGACATTGCATACGTGTGCGCACACATTCGCGATAAATTTCGCGACATTGCATACGTATGCGCACACGTTTGCGATATGCGATGTCCCTTCAGGGCCACCATAAGCTTGCATTTACGAAAAAACAAGTGTGGACGCTGGGGTACATGTTTCGATACATTGATTTCCCAAAACGAAACAATTCACACACATCCTCATGTGATTCGTTTCGATTTGCTGAAAGAACACTGAACTTTTTTGTGATCCGTGGACAGAACCTTAAAACGATGGTTGTGTTTAAAACTCCGTAACTTGAAAAGTACATAAGTGATTTGAATGATTCTTGTACTGTAAGAAAAAGCTTATGAATTGGGCTTTTATATCCTATATTTTAAACGTACTACATGCAGAACTTCACTAAAACAATGGTCCCGACATTTGGGTCTCGTTTTTTTTTACTCACCCTGTATTGCTTGCTCTTGTTAGCGCACGGAGCCCGTGGGATGGCCCTCTGGAACATGCAAACAATGTTCTACGTATTACGTTTTACAGCAGTAATCACGGAATCGATAATGTGATGGCTCCATGTAACTTATCTCCTTGGAGTCGTGTGTGGTTCTGCATGAGATGAACCGATTTAACCGACTTGACTTACAAAATATACCCTAGACGAGACATCATTACAAGTATCGCTAACCTCGATTAACTTTCTCTCACACGATGAGTATAGTGTTACCTCCGTGCCAACCCTTTTCCCATATAGTTTAATATCGTTGCAAAAATATGAAGTCTTCAATCATCGACATTTGTTTTTTATCAACACATTATATTCGGTCCACGCTCTGATCTGGAACGACCGCCTTCATATCACGAGTCTTATTTCACCTTTCAATTTATTTCCGGTCACTGACATGTTCTGAATAATCTCTTCGGGGTTTTTTTATGACAAAACAAAAGAACTTCCAGGATAATTTGTGAAGAAACTTCTTAAAGATGTAATTGTTTTATGTATCGCTATTTTTCCAGCATTACAAAAGTTGTTCACTTTTTGAAGACAAATCGAACGAAACATTACAGCCCAGGTATATGGAATAATTACTTTCAGATTACGAATTATTCGCAGCCGGCCCACAAAAATTATCGCTAGCCAATCAGAATCTGTAATGTAGGCACTGGGAACCAGTCTTCTTGTAAGGCAGATCTGTTTGCGCGCAAAAGCAACCAAAAATAAAACCTTTTTTCAAAACGTTGCAGGCGCGAATCCAGAGGGGGGGGGTTGAGGGTCGACCCCCCCCCTCCCCCGCCCCCGGCCCTGACACAACAAAAATACGATTATAACAATAAGTGCATTAGTAAAATATGTGTTGCATTACCTAGTTGCACGCCCGTCCGCAACAATCGCACATACAAACATCTGACGGGCCTGATACACCCCCCCCCCCTGCAAAAATACCTGGATCCACCCCAGAGCAGAGTAGTCTTTTAAATAAAGTAAAATATACAAATATAAATATTGTTTGGATAAAATTGTCGAATTTGTGGAAGAGCGCGGAGAGAACATCTTTAAGAGGGGTCGTGTTTCCCCAATTTATTTTTTCCATCCAGCTTTCTGTTTTTTGTTTCTTGCAGACACGACGGTATATATTTCCATGAGCGGTCTGCATCTCAACCCCACGGTTTGGGACTCCCCGCAGGTGTTCTGCCCCGAGCGGTTCTTGCCCGAAAACTCGGCCAGCCGCTCGCCCCACGCTTTCCTGCCCTTCTCCGCCGGGCCCAGGTAAATAAAATTGCGGACAATTATCTGTCTACTTATATGGTTTTAAACCGCAGTTGCTATGTTCTTGTTACGGAAAAATAATCCTGCCGATAGATCGACAGCTTGGCTGTTGTTACCTTTTAAGTAGTAATCAATGATTACTTTTAATGATTTCGGCCAGTGGATGCCATGCTCAAATACAACACATGACAACAAGCACGTGTTAGCTCTGCACAGCCTTACATCTTAGCCAATTCAAGTATTTTTAACGAAATGATTAAAGAATCGGACAGTTAGAACATCGATGCTCACGTAGTCAAAATGCAGTTGCAGTTCAGCACACAGTCTTAGAAATACATGTATTTAATAATGACATTTTTTTTCTCAATGTACAGTCAAACCCTAATGAGAAGAGCACTGTTAATACAGCATCCGGGAAATTTGTAAAGTCCCAATGACCTTGTTATAAAGGTGTTCCACTGTATAGTTACCTTTATGATCTGTCCTAAAATTGTCATGATGTGACATGAACGATCAAATGGGAAGGGTTTAGGGTGACCGAGCTCTCAAATTGCAAAACACAACTCCCTAGAAATAGAGCGTGACATGCTACTTGCTGCGCATCGTCCTAACTGAAAGTATGAAGACATTTAATCCACGCCTTTTTGGGGGGTTGAAAATGAAGAGACGTGATGCATCGTTTGAGTAGTGTGATATCTTTTTCGTGAAATGCCAACGGTTCACTAACGTGACATCATGCTTGCAAGAATATTTTGAACCAAATCTGCATTCGCTGGAGAGTATTTCCCGCTCCAAAACCTCCCTCTCGAGTGGCCGATTAATTTTTGTTTTTCCTCGCGAAGGCATCAGCATCTCAAATTTAAGGGTTGCAGACCAGTAAATAGACTGCCATAGACCTCAGTGATAATTACGCGCACTTCCCGAAAAAAAAATTAAAACGCTAACGATTCTCCAAGGTGTCTGAGACACACATCAAATTAAAGTTTATTTCATCATCTTGCATTTTCTGTTCAATTTTTTGGGGGTTGACTAAATGACTTTAATACCGGAGAATTTGCTGGCATGCAAATCGTGATTTGGCCGGCGCAGGCAATTTCGGTCCTTTTCAATGGCTTGCACCCTTAGATGATGTATCTCTCGAATTTTGCTGATGCTCTTTTTAAAGAGCATTATTCAAAAATCAATTAAGTATAAATTTAATTTTAAAAAAAATAATAATAATTTCATAGTTATGTTTCACTGTTTTGGCAGGAATTGTCTCGGGCAGCAGTTTGCCATGTTTGAGTTGAAGACTACCTTCGCTATCTTGCTTCGTCATTTTGTATTTACGGCAGACGACACCAAGACCATCAAGCTGTTCAACGCGGGCTGCCTGCGAAGCGAGACTGGTATCCACGTGATCATGACACCACGTGACACGCGGGACGAGAAGGACTAGTTTCCTGTCTTTCCAGTATCGTTCTGATGCTTCCTCAATCTCGTTCCCATGCTGTCGAACAGTACGCTCTCACCACTACCTGCTCTCTCACCCTGGTATTTGATCGTTTGCATATCAAAAACTTTCGGATACGTATGCAGATTAGGAATAGTCTGGTGCCTGACTGTGCTTTACGTTAGCGTTTGTTTTTGTATGCGGTGTTTGGGGTAAAAACAGAACCAATTCGTTGCGAAAACACGATTTTCTTTTAAACGTTGAATGTTACAATCTTATCCAGCTAATCTGCAGTATCACATTACATATTAATATGAGCGAAACAGGGGAGGGAAGAGGATTGTTTGTGAGGTGGAGTAGACGTAATCATTCACAGCGAACAATAAAATACGTAATACTCGTTGGAAATAAAAATACCGAGTGCACGATATAAATCCATTACTGTATTGAATCAGGATACGGGAACAAAGATTCCATCCAGGGGTTACTATCGGAAGCGAAGTTGAAAAGTAAGTAACCCCTGGGGAGGAGGTTGACGTTTTCTCGATTTTAAATTGATTTCCACGATGAATTCGCGTCGAAAATGTATGAGGGGTTTACGAAACATCGCCTTCATTGTGTAGCATCGGCTTAACGGGCGCCGCTTCCCGACTTGACACGCTCCTGCTCAATACTGGTTTTTTTATACAAGACAACAGTTGGAAGTATTTTGGTGCGAACATAACACGTTCAGTATGAATCTAGAGCTGGTGTAGCATGAATTTAGGTTTTATGAAATATGGACACATTGGTGATATTGCTCATGCATATATAATTAGGAGAGGGACCGGTCATGTGAGAGGGTTTAACCAATAGATGTAAAAGGGAAAAAGAGTCCGATTTTCATACGAGTCCGATTTTCATATGACACCGGAATTGAAACCGAAGCTGCAGAGACAAAGCTTGGGCTTAGTAGTCTCCGATAGTAAAGGCAGAACTACAGGCGTGCATGTGTTTTTGTTACAGGCTCATCAGGAGAACAAATGGAACACGAACATACATTTCCAGTTTCAGAATTAAGGAAGATTATTATTCAGCGAATACGATTAAAGGTCCTGGCACAAAAAACTGTAGATTGTATGGTTAAGGTTTATATGATGAATGTTAACTTTCCCGATTGCGAAATGTATTATGCATGCGCCTTTCTATACGGAAATGTTTGGTCAATAACGGAGTCTTTTATGTATAATTCTCCTGGGTGGTGGTTTTGAAATTTTAAACACTCTTCTTGGCATTTAACTTTGAGAACTGTCAGATATTCTATTTATCATTATTTTGTTTTTAATTTTAAGATATCAAATTAATAGTTTTCTTGCGATATTTTATATTAATAAGCCACGTGGTCAGAAAAGCTTATGTCACATTTAGTTGTTTAAGTTTACAATGAATAAGCTGGCGGGAACATTATATACGACGGAAAACCAGATGTTTGTACTTCGATACCCGATGACGTTATAATGGCGTCAAGTAATTTGCAGACCTTGGAATCAAGGTTGATGTTTGTTCCAAGTTCCAATGTACCATAATGTTATATTTTTTATTGGAATTACATGTACATAACTTGCTATTGTTTTGACGGGAATAACTTCTTACTTCGAGTTTACAGGGTTTTCGAGTTAACCGGTTTTGACTTGCCGAGATTTCACTGTTATTATTATGATACAAACATCAAGACGAATACAGGTACGCGATCACTGCTACGGAGGCCCCCTTCAATGGAGAAACCATTGTGCATGCTATTGTACAAAGCAATTACCCCATGACGAATTATCTGAACAATAGCTAGCACAATGCTTTCGCCATTGAAGGGGGCCTTCGTGATAGAAATGGCAGCATGCCCAGATTGGTATATTAGTAATGTTAAAGTGACTATGTAAAAACTAGTAAGCACTTCTGAAGCTCTGAACCTGTAGTTTATTCTGTCACTCTCTGATTGTCTAAGAATTCTTGTACTTAAAAAAAAAGAAATGTATATCATAAAAGTCCAAGATTTGTGATAATGCATAATGTATAACAACCAGCCTTTGACAAACGCACGAATTCAATGGCGGGTCACCAAAAACTTGGAATCTTGCCCGACTTCATTTCATCACATCCGGGCCGTCTCTTTACAGTATATACTTCCCCCCCCCCCCCAAAAAAAAGTGTCCGTTTGACTATTATTTAAATAACTACAAACCAATTGTCAATTGATCACAACAACTTTTTTGGACACTGTGACTTAGTTCCTTGCCTTATTCAATTTCAGTACTGTGTTAGGCCCAAAAAAAGTCTCCGGTTTCTGGTATGGAGCTTGCCCAAAAAGTGGTGCGACGACGCGGCTTTTTTTTTTTTTACCTGATGTTTTTGCTTCAAATGTCGGCTGATGACTGCAAATGGTGCCCGACTAAACTTAGTGCAAATATATGGGAGTCCAGAGAGGCCACATAAAGCTTATTCTCGACCATAACCCAATCTAAAAACACGTTAAAATTGTGCAGCAGCAGGATTCCAGTCAAACTAGTGAGTTTGGCGGTTTTGAGACATCATCTTTCATTGAAAAAAAAACGTTTTCATTTTGCCGACGCGCATGGCTACGGCGACGCGCGCGCATACCAGAAACCGGAGACTTTTTTTTTTGGCGTTAAGTAAGCTGTGTAAAATCCTGCATGTTGTGAAAAGGGCTGCAGTTTGGATTGGAATCATTTGCCTGGCTACCAGTCATCATGGCAGGACCTGGTTACATGCTCAAGGGCAAACGATTCCAATCCCAAACAAATTTAGCTTTTTTTTCTCAATATGCAGGATTTACACAGCTGCTTACATAAAACAGCACTTAAATTGATTAAGGCAAGGAACCTGGTCACAGTGTCCAAACATATTGTTGTGCTCAATTGTGCAGTGATGCATGGCTGAAATTAAGTAAAACTCATAGGGGTTGAGGCCAAGGCTTCGGGGTATCTGCACAACTAACAATTTTCAAAATTGACCTCATGGTTTTGTAGTTATTTTAAAAACAGTCAGAGGGACACTTTTTGGGGGACATACTGTATATATCTCTCTCGTCCAAACTCACTGCAGGCCTATATATCAGCATCCTGCCTGGTTGGAAATCGTATCTATGTATGCACGGCCAAACTATAGTGACCGGAAGGTATATGAATTTCTTACGCCATCCTCAATTTAAAGAGCACCTGTAATTCACTGACTGCACTGCTGTACTCTCAGGTTTCATGGCAAATGGTGCAGACGATAAAAATGATGGATTTATCCAGGATAGCGGTCACGTGGTACCGATCTTTAGAATTATTCAGGAAGTAGGCCTATATACGAATTATTTATTAATGACGCCGGTAAAATGTACATAGTTAATCTCTCCACTCAACATCCTAATCTAAGCCTGTTCTGTTAACTACCGCTTACGTGTGTCACTTCAGCAGCCTTATATACATAGGCCTAAAGTGAACAACCATTAGCTGCAGAGTGCACTACCCTTCTAGGAACGTTTGCTCACGTGTGCATTGTCTCATAGTTTCTCCATCAGAGGTAAAATCCTTCCGTATTTTGTTTATGACAAACGGAGGTACTTATTAAAAACTTTCAAACTCCGGAAAGCTTTGTCCAATCAGCCGTTTGTCGGCACCTTTTGGCGAGCCGTAAGGGAAGCTTGGCCGGAGCGACCCGTCGCGGCAGTTGTCGTCCAGGCCGATCCCGCGGGCTACGTGAGTGGAATCCCATTCTTATAAATTATCCTCTTGTCTTCCCCGCCAATGGACCTTTCGAGGCTGTGTGCTGGCATTTACACCGATGGCGGGGAAAAACACCGGACTGTTGCTTAGCAAACCGTTGTCATGGTAGATCTGCAGATTGTCTCTCTCTCTCTCTGTCGTTCTCGGTGGCTTTCTACTCTTCAGGGAACTTGTAGTTGTTTTGTCAGTGTTCGCAGACAGAGCCGAAGATAGATTCCAAGCTCCTGGAGAAGCGACCTGTTGGGGTTAATTTCCCGCCAACTTCAAGATTGAAACTCAATTATTTTTTTTCTTCGCGTTGGTGGGTCTCTCCGGTACCGGTGCAGACAGCTTAGGACACATTTGGAAACGAGGCAATTTTAGCTGTGTTCTCCGGTAAATTAATTGAATCAAACCGTTTTAAGACCTCTCTACATCCGCAAAGACTGAAACTCAAACTCGGGGTGTTTTTTTTTTTTTAATCATTTCCGGTGATTCACGCGTATATGGAAGTGGAGATGGCTTACCTGTATGTTTTTTTTTACATTGTAGGTTGAACACTTGGTATCGCATTCTCCAGTTTCTTTTTTTCCTGTTCTTGACTTTGTGCTCGTTGACTATGTCAGATGACCATTTTGTGGCCATTTTTAAGGGATTAAAAGTAGCTTTAGTTTATAATTTAATAGTACCACTGTAAAGCCGTTGAACTTTGCAGTTAATGACTGTTTTTCTGAAACGACGTCATTAAAGGTAAGGGACACTATTTGTAAACATTCAGAAACGACTCTGCTAAAATATGAAATAACTCTTTTTGATTCTACGTAAAGAATAGGATTAAGAATCCTGTGAACCTAGTATGTTGTCATTTTCAAGATAAGGGAAATTACAATAATTTCTTCGCGATGGTTAAGACAACCATCGTAAAAAAAATTCTATTACTGGTAAAAATTGACCAAGTTTATTTCGGTTTTTAATCGGTTAAATATCCGTGAATGAGAAATATTTTCGCGGATGGAGAAACACCTTTGAACAAACAACAAGAGGGTGCTAGTCAAAACGTACTATATAATGAAAATTTTGGAAGAATTGGCTTTTGGCATAAACCTTGCTATTCGTCGAGAAAAAAATAGAGATGAATTTTCATAGTTTTTCTCAAAAAGTATGTCTACTGAATTTCGCCTAGTTATTTTTTTCAACAAACTGCTTCAGATTTATACTGTAGTTCATTGAATCAGCAAAAATACATTTTTGCAAATGGTATCCATATTGCCTTTAAATGAGTAGCTTGGAATGTCCATTCCCCGAATCGTCCTAAGATGAAAATCCCTGCTACCGAGGGAGAAAAATCAGCCTCGTCGGAAAAAAAAACTCATTTTAATTGAAAGCTATCTTCCAAACCCACCACTGACCACTTCCAAACTCTTTTTTCTCTCAACTGTTTATATTTAAGAGAAAAACTCATATCTTTTAAGGCGAAATTTTGCAACAAATTTATTGTTCACTTGTCCACATTTCCGGGTTTTTTGTCACCGAGACATTTCTTATGAGGAAGGTAACTCTACCCGGAGGCAAACAGGATGTTATCCTCTCGTCTGTAACCACTTTTTGGACGTCTTGATCCGCCGGGTAATTCGTCCAGTAAGCCCCCTCCTAAACCGCGCG